TTAACACCTGTCACCACATTCAAAAACTCACTTTCTCCTCCTGGGGTATGGGCCCCACGGGGACAGGTTCTCCACTGTACTCCCTGTCCGTCCTCCAGTGCTCGCTCAGTCAGAGCCTGGCACGGAGGGAGCATTCCACAGAATCTACTGTAAAAATCTCTCCTGTTCTTAAAGACAACAAAGGAAGAAATTAGCACTGAACTGCTGAGACACACTGGGATGTTTGTTTTAACAGGGAGAAGTAAACAACCAATTTAAGCTCTCAGATGTAAACTGAATGACAATTTTTCCAAATTGAATTTATATAAAAAAATTCTAAGGTGTCATTTAACTGACATCACTGGACATGTACAGTCATGGGATTTTTTAATATTAGAAGTCACAGTTACTTGACAACATGCGGAAGAAAAACAACAAATAGATGCCACATATCAAACAATGACCACAAAACAATCCTTTATCCGTGAGACCAGTAACAGATTGTGTTGACCGGTAAATTCATATTCTAGATGTATTCATTAGATTGAACGGTAGATATTAACTTTCCTGGTAATATAAAACAGGATTCAAATTTACTAATACCTGATTTACAGTAATTATGTATAGAATATATTTTGTCTTTTAATCAAAAGGGTTTTGAACTGTTAAAGTCCACTAAAGATTCAGTATTTAAATAACTTACAAAATGTGTGAGCTCATGTACAGCAGTGTACAGTTACCCCAGCTGTGGTGAATAGCAGTGCACAGTTACCCCAGCTGTGGTACAGCAGGTAAATAAAAGATAATCATCTACCTTACATTTTCACCTGCCCATATAGACGTGAATCTCAAGAATGCACCTAAGAGTCAATTTAATTAATACAAACCCATTGTTTAACTAACCACATTATAAATAGTCAATATTTCTTTAATAAACCAATAGCCCACTGTCCTGTGGCACTGTGTTGGATTTTAACACTGAACTTTAAGAAAAACCTTTCACAATAACTTTAAGCACTTTGGTTTTCAGATTCATCTAAAACCTGTAATGTGATTTCACAATGGTTTCAGGTTTCACAATTAGCTGTGTAAGCAAATCAATAAACCACATTGTGTTGCTACAAGTATTTAAAAAGAGGGATTTGAAGCAGCTGTCACTATTCTGCAATAATGATAAATAAACCACAGCTAGAAAGTTTCTAATTAGTAGCAATTATTATAAAGTGCAGAGCAAACAGGAAATGAAATATAATCTTAAAAACCCTACTTCTGCCTCTAATTCTCTAAAGGACACTGAAGGAAGAAACTTGCACCAAGCTGCCGAGACAAGATGCAACTCGGATGTTTACTTTTACAGGAAGAGCAAATAGCCAGTGTACGCTCTAAAAATATCTATCAGACTTGCAGTGTTTCTCGGCAGAAAAGGAAACCTGATCCCAGAGTTTACATGGAATTTCAAGGGACAATAAGAGCCAAGGTGTTTGTATAAAGGGCAGAGTTGGAGGACTTGCCTTTTCTGATTCCAAACACACTGCAGAGCTACAATAATCCAGACATCGTGGTTGCCACAGAAACGAACATACATCAGGAGAAGAAGCTCTCCATTTAAGATCAATGATTTTTTCAAAAGGGAAACTATATCTTCTAACGCAGACAGAGTCTTTACAAGAGTTTGTAAAACTTCACTGCCCAGTGATTCCAATCTTGGACTTAGCAAATGTGAAGTCTGCATTTTACAGAGTATTTATGACAGTGTCATCAAGATTATTCCCAAAGAAAAACAGTTTATTAGTTGAGGAACTCTATAAACAAAAGCAGGGGAGCTGAGCATGGTGGTCCACTCCTGTACTCTAGATACTCAGGAAGCTTAGGCAGGAGGATTGTATAACCAGCCTGGACTGCACACAGTACAGGATAACTTGTAACAAAACAGAACTAGTTACTAACAGTCCACAGCAGAGATGGATGCCCAATTTGCAATGCTTAGTGAAAGATGGGGATCAGAAACCATGTATCTTATGATTCTATATATACAAATTGCCTCAAATAGGAAAAATGAACATAGAAAGACAGGAATGAATGGATTAGCAGTTGCCTAGGGCAAGAGATGATGTCTGGGGGCAGGGGGAGGATGGGGGTGTGTGCAAATGGGAATATTAGAAATTAATCTGGGAAATGACTATGCAATTCCATGTTTATACTAAAAACAATAGATTATATACTTAAAAGAGGGCGGACTGCAAATTATGTGAATAATAGCTCAATCGGAAATATACTATACTTCTATAATTAAAACTCAATCCCTGATAAAATGGATTTGCTAAATGGGAGCTAGCATGTAATTATTTTTCACTTTGATATCTTGCAGCTAAATTTCTGAGGAGACGTGGTACAGAAAGCATAAAGGCATTCAGGTTATTTAGAGAAGTGAGCAATAACACAAGGAAGAAACACCAGATCCCAGTGTTGGCGGAATCTGCACGGTTCAGAGCGCACTCTGTGGACACTCCTGGAGAGCACAAGGCAGCCAAGCTCTCCTTGTCTTCCCCAACTGTAAACACGGAGACCACATGGAAGGGGAAGGAAAACTGACGGATCTCAGGGACACATTCAGGAATTCCTCCAACGTCTCCAAGAACACCAAGAAAGCCACTCTGTGGAAGAAATGGAAGCCTGCACAGGAGTGAGGCATTAGAGCCGTGGTCTGAGACCCACGGATCCGTCACCCACTGCTGTGGGGCAGGAAAGCTGCAGAAGCAGTCTCCCAGGCCAGGCCTGCAGAGTGACAGCACGACCCTATGCCGAGCATGGCTCAGGACTCTCTCAGAGCTCTGCGTGCAGGCTCCTGAACTCCTAAGCGTTCACTTCTGCCTACCACAATTATATTAACCCGTGCGACTAGGGGAGCAATCAAACACAGACAGAGCAAATGGCGTCCACTGTTACCTAAGCATGCTATAATAAAGGAGCTCGTTTATGATATCTGCATCAAAGCTTCTGGCTACTTTTACGATTTGGAAGCAGAAATCGAGTCATTGGCTTGAGATGAGCTATAGAGGAAGGTGTACTAATGAGGCCTGGAAATGCAAAGAGGGGAACAAGCATTTCTGAGGGCCATTGAAAAGTATGGGGTACTATGCAAAACAGGAAAAGGAAACATGAAATACTCAGAAGTGGAGAAACGAATTCTAAAGAGAAAGGTTTCTCTCTCTGTCCTGCACAGTGTCCGCCCCCGCCATGCACCTTAGTAGCTGGAGCGAGCCTTGAGGAACAGAGGTGTTTTCCAGTGTAAACATCCAAGAAAACAATCTTGGAGTGGGCTGGAGGACAGAAAGCTAACAGCCCACTGCACAAGGAACAGGATAGAAACAGGGACACCGAGGAATTGCAAACACGGGATTGCTGGAGGACCCACCAGGAAAACCTCAGCCAAGAACACAAACTAGGAGTATAAACAGATGAAATGAAGGTAGAGGGTTTTAAATTCGAAAACATAAACTTTAAAGTTAAGAAAAAATCAAAATGTAGAGGAAAATAAATATTTGGGAGGAGAAAGCCCCAGAAGGCTGTGTGTTCAACACGTGTGTACCTGGTACACGGTCAGGGAGCCTCTGGCCGAAGCCTGTGAGGCAGCTACGCTTGCTGCCATTCGCTCCTCCCCGGGCACTCTCCTCCCCGCCTTCCTTCCCATGCCATGAACATGTAACACCAGAGGGAACAGAGATTTAGATTTAAATGGTCTAGGCTTTTCTGCTTGTTTTTAACCTTTTTAGAATCACATTATTTTAAATGGGACTAAAAATTCGAGCATTTGCTATACATTTAATTTATACATTCTGCCTTATAATTTCTCTCCAAACAATGATATATATATGTATATATATATGTATATATATATGTATATATATATACTTTTCCTAGTGCTCTAATTTTCCATGGACCTAGAGCAGGAGATAAGTATATAGAAGCAACACACTGAAGTCTCTCTCTCTCTCTCTCTCTCTCTCTCTGTCTCTCTCTCTCTCTCTCTCTCTCTCTCTCACACACACACACACACACCACACATTTTTTAGCTCACATCCCAAAACCAATGCTTCCTATTTTACTCATGAGTTATACTTTGGGTTTCCTTTTTAACAATAACAAAACTTTGTCCTTACAGACAAAATCAAATACATTTGTACCTAGGTTTTAGGATGAGTCTATTTATTAATTCCTTCCTTGCTTTGGGAAAAGGAAAATCTAATGGTAGCATAATTAGTCAAACAGTGGCATTTCTAGAAGACAGAATAAAACCTATCAGCTCTGGAGTTTCTTACTCTTCCGTCTTAGACACTTCACATGCAGTGCACAGACTCGGGAGCACACAATTAGACTAGAACGCCCCAACTAGTTTGGGATGCCAATCCCTCACAGTCTGAGTTTTTCCTTTTGGAGATTATAATTTCGGTTTACTTCAGGGTCCAACATCCCACTCAAATGCATACAACACTTTTTATTTCATTGCTCTCTATTCTGCACATGCAACAAAGCTGTGTGACAATCGTCATGCCCACAAATCAAAATGCCCAGTATATTTTACACTCAACTTTAAAAGCTAAACTATGCAATTCAAATGCAGCTCATCTCCACACACCTTTCGCACTAAAGTTTTGCTAATAGAGATGGATGCGAATTGTTCAGTCGGGGCCACAGGGGTCCTCCGAGGACTAAATATGGCACACTCAGCTTCCTCCTCTGTAACTCTACCTAAGATTCCTCCAGCTCCGATCTGTCAGGCAAAGGCTGCCAGGTGAGCAGTCTGTCACTCTTGCCTAGGCTAATAGACTCTCCAGTGGCTTCTGTTACAGCTCATGTCATACCATTAAAACTATGTGCCTTGAAAAATACCGTAACATATGTGGCTGAATCTTGTCAACTCCAGATAATCAGACTCGGTGTGGCTTCACCAGCAGATGCAGATTAGAGAGGCAATATAAATATGCAAATCACACTGGTCCCCTTAGCACCACTGTTCCTACCTCTAATGGCCCTCGTAGAAAGTCTGCGTGCTCCACTCCTACTTCCAGCGCTACATCAACAGAAGCAAAGGGACGGCTGGCCATCTGCTGTCGTTCTCGAAGCAGTTGCTGGAGGGGGTTAAAAAATGATCTGTTTTAAAACAGGCTTAAGAGCACACACCGAATGCAACAGTATCTGTTTTCATTTTCTGAACAAATGGCATTGAAATTTTAGCAATCCTTGTCCTTTAGTTTTGTGTACATACACATCTAGAAAGCTAAAGACAAAATTACCTGCTCCCCACGCCCTGGTTGGACTTCACAGAGGTATGAAATGTACGGCGCTACAAAGTAACCTTCTCTTGACCTCCACCCACAGGCCTAACAAAATGTACTCAAAAGCCCTTGGGAAAGCTCAGGCGATAGGTGCCACTTAAATAAAATGTGTTATTATGATGACAGGCGCGGACAGGCTCCCACTCAAAATAACCCATGCATTTTGTCTTAGCAGAAAGGAAAGTATTATCGAAAATGTTTAAGGGATGAAAATGAAAAGTTGTCAAAATCCATTAAAAGAGATCAAGGAACATATAGCACTAAGACTAAGTTTTGAGAGTCGTTAAGTCCTGTCCTCTGCTGTGGAGCAGAAGGAACAGTGCCGGACCATCTTCAAATCTTTACCCACAGCTTGTGCCCGCTATCTGATATGCAGATGACTATGAAGGTATGAGGGAATCCGCGCCAGGCCTCTGAAGCACCACTGGGTGTTTCGCGGACGCTGGGTTTGCCTAGCTGAAGTCACAGCCAACTACCCAGCTAATTTATATTTCTGCCTTTCCTTGTAATTATAATATTCATTAAGTCATGATAAGAAAAAATTGATGACCAGCAGTAGATACCACAGATCTTGCCCCTCTCATCCTATACAGCTAATAAAATTATTATTAAATATTAAAGAGGACGGGCAATGCAATTAAATACTCTTTCAAATGAGGAGAAAATCATATTGGTGAAGAAGGCAGAATCCTTAAACACAATGAATGACTTCATTATTTATGGAGATCTTTAAGATTCTCAGGCATTAGGTGAAAACAGTAACTGCCAGTCTTTGAATGGCTGCAGCCCGGGATGCATCATTCATAACTGTCCTCTGCAGATGAGGAACAAACACAGTAAGGGAAGGCAATTTGTTATCTAGCGTTTGTGCGTGAACACATATGACACAGGGCGTAAACAGAATTTTAGGCTTAGCTTTCTTGTAATTACAGTGAGCATCTACCTGACGACATTATATGGAATGAATGAGCCGTTAGTGAGCAGTAGTTTAACTTATTAACTTACATTTTGTCTAAGTAACGGATTCATAATAAATATAAAGCATAAAGGTACACAAAATGGAACGGGCCACTTTCATAAAGTTTCACCATTGTGTTACTATACAGGGCTGTTAACAAACAGACCTTGGCTTGTGCCTCTCCCCACAGGAGTGTTCCAAAGGCAGACAGGGTCGTCTTTACAAGCGAGCCATGGTAGGGGCAGAAGGTGGCATGCACTTGGGTGTCCTTGGTGGAACGCCACAGATGCCACCTTGCACACATAACCCAACAACACAACCGTCCTACACAAGAAGCATCAAGAAAATGTAGACTCAAGTTTATGTCCAAACAGAATTGTTTAGTATTTATAACTAATAGTGTCCTCCATTTATCTACCTCTCCTTGGCTTATAAATGATAAGTCCTATGATAGGGATTTTTAACAATGAAAGCCTCACCTGTCCTCTGTTGAATTCTTAAACAAAGGGTTTACAGAGTATAATTAATAAACGTTCATTGTCACAAATTGTGACATCACCGATAAGTACTCCAAAGCCAAGCATAACAAAACGAAGTGTAGGACAGCAACACCAATATGCAACATGGGAAAATCATGCCACTGATACTTGTTCGATTATGAAAATTTCATTTGTACAATGCAAAGCATATTTTAAGACTCAGGTTTGCTCTCTGAGCTTTGAGTTTAGCTGATTTTAGAGAACCAAATGGATTTGTTCTGGGCCACCAAGCGGGGCTGCAGATCTTGTTAAGAGACACATCGGGGTTCTGGCCATGAGGACTGGGAGAGAAAACACTGCAAATATCTTTCCCACTAACCTCTGGCTCTCAGCCTTGTCTTTAAAAATCGTCACGGCCAATTAGTAACTGGATGCCTTACTTTCTCAGTTTTGTTATGGCAAAGGATACGCCCAAACTGTGCTGACAACCTCAGTCTAAGGAACCCGGCCTCTGACGTCGGAAGGCCTCGCACCTGCATGCTGCTCTCTTCATTCGTAGCTGTTTCATGCCAACAGTAGGGTTTGGGTCTCACTAATCCTCCATTTTTCTCATCTGTGGAGCATGCGTGCTGGGCCCTAAGCTTGTACCTGTTCTCTCTCAACCCCAGCTTCTGTACTCCTCACTCTCAACTGGACCACGACCAGACAGCCGAGGCTTTCAAACAACTTGTTCTTTCTCTGTATGCGATGGGAATGACTAATGTCTTCCTCCTGAGAGCTTGGGACAGAATGGGATGCCGGTAGAGCGCTCAGCACAGAGTCTGCAGGCATGAGGGCTCAGTGTTACTGTGCTGAACCTGAGGACTAATTTCATATTTGAGGATGGCACACTAATTACCTCATTCTCATTTTCCTCAGCACGGGTGACACATTCGGCTCTTCTAATCTGCCTTTTACCAAATGTTGCATTATGAGGCAGTTGGAAATGTCATTATTGAACTAGACTTGGAACGGTTCTCTGCCATTTGTGACTAAGAATGATAAAACCCAACCAGAAAAAAACAAGAGAAAATATATAAAATATTTTCTTAAGACATTCTGAAAGTTATTTTTCATGATTCTGGTTTGTGTGGCAGTTAAGCATCTGTATATCTATAAGAATACACACAGCAGATGTACCTGGTTTATACGTGATCTGCTACTGCCAATTATTCAGCAGAACAATAAAATCCACAGAACAAACTGATCACATCACAATAGATAATAATCATGTTGTCACAAATGTTGCTGGTAAGAACATTTAAAAATTTAAGAGATGTTCTTTAGATCATTGATTTGTCCAAAATAATTCCTTTAGTATTGAATATCTGCTATAAAATAACATCAGGAATTAAAAATTAATTTGAAAATCCAGACCTAAATTTGACAACTTTTTACACATATATACATCAGATGTATACATCCTTATATGGATAAAGATAATTCTACTTAATACCCCTTACTTAAAATTCTGTGTCATTCCCCCAGTTCCTCTTACCTGCCTTTCAAATACTGCAAGACTATAATACATTTTAGGACAGTATACCATAAAAAGACACAGTGTAAGTAATGGAACTGGAGTTAATTTTGCCCCAACTGTTCTCACAGTTCCTACCTCCTTCTGTTACGTTCAGGCCCCCAGATATCCTTCCTATCACATCCAGACGTCCTATTATACTCCAAGTCTGAAATCAGTAAGAATTTCCCATTTCCTCTCCCGTCTATGCTTAATTTGGTTAAGGGTTTTACACTGCAGCCAGGCTGGCCTGGAATTCATTATGTAGCTGAAGCTAACCTCAAACTCAGCACTCTCACATGTGCCTTGGGATTACAGAGGTCGTCGGCCACACACGGCACCAGTTCCTATGAACCACTTATTACATCAGTGCAGCACGAATTCTTTGTATCTCCTTACTTTTGCCAGGACCCCCTTAAAGGCAAAAATCTACTTTTAGCTAATTCTCAAACGCCCAAACACTCAGTTGAAATTCAGTTTCATTTGTTAAATAAAGAATGAATATAAAAATAATTTTTAAAAAATCTAAATTTGCTTCCTAGGAATGTGGGTGAGGATACATTATTATAAAATTATGTATTTATGATTAACCATTCAAAGTTATGACACATACTTTGGCATTGTAGTATATTATATACAAGAACATCTTTACAGATGAGCTCTAAAGGTTGAGTTTCAAATTCACATCAGGTTTCATATTTGTTCCTCATCTACTTTCCCCCAACACTACCAATGCAACTGGAGAAAATTCATAAAGTCATCACAATGTATTAATATTTCTGAAATTTTTGAAAAGATAAGGGAGTCATCAAACAGATTATGTATTGGTCTGGACGTTGCGAATTCTGATGAACAAAGGTTTTTGAATTCCAGACCGAACAACCGTTTGTGAGACAGCAGTTGAGTATTAGCGCAAATGCACTTAACACCGGACACACACACACACACACACACACACACACACACACACACACACACACACACACACACACACACACGGGACAAGCAACCTGGTGATTCCATCCTCCCAGTGTTACCGGGAAAAAGGCAGGGAGGGCTGCTGTCCGGTTTCACTGAACTGGGGACAAGGGTAGCCTACCGCTTTGCAGCGCCAGGTCTGCAAGGCACAAGGCTGGGACTCCGTCTTGGTCCTTCTGCGTTTGCTCTTCCTGTCTGAAGCTGGTTGTCTAGACACTGATGCTAGCACCTGGGGGGCTGCCATAATGCACGGCCTCGTTCCAGGCGTCTGGACTACTCTTTTCTGTGCTTCTACACTCTTCAAACTATGCAATGTAACTATGCTTGATATATACTTTTGAAAAGAAAAATGTCCAGTGGCTTCCCAACGGTCTATTCATTAGCTTTAGTAAAACTTTACACTTTTCACTAAAGTCAAAAATGTACTCAATCTTTATTTATTATTTGAAAAAAAATACTGTCCTCAGTTGGCCATAGCCAGACTATAGATTTTCCAAATGGGTTCTTCAGGTGCACAGGGTTATATTTAAGCACCGCATGTCATGGATTGTGAGGTTGCTACCAGAAGAGAGACAAGAATGAAGGCCATTTCTACATCTACTGTGAAAACATAACAAACAAAATGATAACAACACATCAGCATATACACTAAAACACACAGCTAAATTGTGGGTCATGTCAAAGGTATGGAGGTAGAGTCTTGAACACCTGTATGGGTGAAGTAGACCGTAGCCCAAAGTAAAAAGCCTGTAACTCAAGCCTCAGGCTTCAGAGGACATGGGGATTTCCTGGGGAGGGGGAAACAATAGATTTTATAGGTGGA